CGCAAAGTCATTAGATCACCCTGTTCCCGACGGCCACTGTGCGCGCCTCCGGTTCAATTGGCAGGAGCCAAGAAAAGGCAGTGGTCGAACGTGACGCCGACTTGCTCGCCACCGAAGAATCTCGAGAGCACGCCGCAGCCCTCGCCGCCGCTGTGCTTGAGGAAATGCAAGTACGGGTAGACCACAACTGCTGCTCACGGCGCTCGCGCCGAGGAGCACGTAACATCCTTGACTGCAGGTGGGTGGGCAAATGGCAATGGACGCGAGGTGAATCAGACCCATCTCAGAAGGTTCGGATTATCCGCATGAGGCTGACTCTCCGAGGCTTCAAAGACGCCGGCCCCGATCGCGTCGCCGCGTGCGCAGACGCCTTATCACGACTGTCCCAGCTCGTGGTTGTCTCCGAGGCGGCCTGCCGAGGATGGGCGATCGGTGCGTGGGGCGTCAAGAAGGACTTCTGGAAGGGCGTCAGCTACCAGGAATCAGCGGAGGTGACAGGTAATGATATGCGCGAGGTCAACTTTGAGGTCTCCCCTGACGCCGTCGCAGTCACTTGTAAAGTGAATTGGTACGAAGATATAGACCCGGCGCTTGAAGTTCTCCACATGGAACAACCAGGCACCGGGTGCAAAGGTGCCCCAAGATGCCGGTCCATTCAGCTCACCAAGATCACCAATTAAATGTACCAAACTATCCCAACATTCCCAACATTTTAAACAGCGGCTTCGTCGCCTCTCGCAAAAATTGATCTCGCCCAGCTGGCCACCAAACGTGTCGACGACATCAAAGTCACAGGATCTCCAGAGGGAAAAGCCAAGGTACGTCAATGGTTATAGGATTCTCCCGGCACGGGTGAACTGGTGGTTAGCGAAGGTGCTGTCACGTGGTGTGGAATGCGTCATTCCTCAGCACAGCGGCGGATATGAGCTGGGCCAGATCGAGTGCATTCAGGCGTTGGAACCAATGGGAAGCGCTGGGCTGGTTGGCAAGTGCAATTCCGAGCTCGCTCCAGAGAGCCTGGCCAAACTGTGCCTTAGTCTGCTTCTGGTTCTGGCCTTCGCGCTCATCGTCCGAATCGATCTGCGCGTCTACGTAGTTGTACATCAGCGCCGCGCAGCGGCGCTGACGTGCGGCCGCGCGCGGAAGCTCAATGCACGGGTGAGGTGGGCACAGGCCACGCCATTGCGCAGTCGCTATCCACCGATGCGCTGCGCGCGCAAGCTCGTGCTGCGCAGCGACGCAGCGTTCCGAAAGGAACAGAAGGAGGGCGTCGACGCAGGGCGAGCCCTGCGAGGAGCCACCTTCTTGCGCGTGGGCACCGGGTGCGCGGAGACTCACCGTGCCCTCGTCGGCAAATGAACGTGTCGCCTGCTGGACTGGCGGTGTGGGGCACTTCAAGCAGTTGCACGAAGCACCTTCGCAAGTGAGCTGATGGCCGCGATCAGTTCGACTGATCACTGCCTCGCTCTAGCAACCGCACTCCATGATGTACTGAAAGGCCCCGTGGCCCTGAAGCGGCATGTCGCCAATGAAATGGTCAACGGCCGCTCGCACTGCAAACCGAGCTCTGCCTCGACTCGATGGGAGTGGTCGCAGCCGTCGCAGCGCCGAGACCCAAACCTCTGGCAGAACACTCACTGCTGTCGCGTGTGCAGTGTCTCCGCGACCTCCTGAGCCCGGGCCAACTGTGGCCCTGAGCTGGGAGGATACCCGTGGCATGATCGCGGCCGGGCCAATCAAGGGCAACGTGAATAGATCTGCCTTCCATGACGTGGTTGGTGGCTTTCGTCGGCGGTCGCATGCGCCGTGCGCAGTCGCCCTCGCGTCGACTGGCAAGCTCGCCGTGCTGTCAGGTCACGAGCGCCGGCCTACTTCCGATAACTAATCAATTTTTCATGTGCATCGGACCAGCGTGTGCTCCATCCTCCTCGGTGCCATTAGGCCGCCCCCATCCTCATCTTCTCGGGAGGTCTGTCACGTGGCGCATGATGGTTGGGAGGGGTGTTGTGGCGCGGCCGTGCGGGGGTGCATGCTGTCGGGATCCATGCTGCAGTGGTGAGCGTTCGCGGTGACGCGCGTGCAGGTGAGCGCATGCGCGGACCGAGTGGGCGCAGAAGCAGCAGGAAGGATCAGGGAGAAGTCTGTTTTCGTTGCCACTGCCGTTTCTCATCAGCAGGCTTGTGCGCCGCCCAGCCGAGGCGCGCTGAGCTGCGGGCTGTGGCTCGTGCTCCGCCGGGCCCGCGCGCGGGCTCTCGACGCGCGCCGTCGCGCGCTGACTGCCGCCCGCTGCCGCGCGCGCCCGTGGCGCCGTGTCTAAGAGTTAGCCGCCGGAGCCCGCGGGCCCGCCGCCGCCTCGCCGCTCGCGTTCCTCGCCCCCGTCTTCTTCGTCTTCCGCGGGGGAAATGGCGTCGTCGGAAGACGCGGCACTCGCGTCGTCTGGAGGCCGAGCCCTGCCGCGGGCCCGGCCCCCGATGCCCCCGCCAGGCACCCCGGCCGAAGTCGGCGGCAAACTGGCGATGATTCCTCCTCCCGGCACACCTCCAATGGCGCCGTCGCCGTGCAGGGCCCAGGTTCGTGAAGTTGGTCGCCTGGCGCAGCGGTCCGACGAGGCGCGACGCGCGGTGCCAGTGGTTTTACGCGGCCGCGTTCAGGTTCAAAGGCCTCGCCGTTCCTGGTCGCGACCGCCATCTCCGCGCCGACGCTGCGCGGCGACCGTGTCTCATTCGTGGCTGCTGCCGGCCAGTAAGCCGCGATGGTGCCGACCGCGCCAAGCGCGCCACCTCCTCTGGAGGCCCCGGCCACGGCGCTCTTGGAGGACGCCCAGCCGTTCACTAAGTCCGACGTGGGGATTGTGAACTTCGTGCGCAAGTGGAATCATGCGGACCTGGTGTCCGAATAGGATTGCCGTCGCGCCTTGTTCAGCGCCGACGCGATGGGCTCCGAGCTCCGCGCAGGCTTTGCCTTCGAAGTGCGGGGGATCAACAGCTGGATCAACAAATGTTCGAGGCCCGCATCTGAAAACGTCCCTTCGGGTATCGCGCCCGCGATGCTCGCGACGAAGCTATACCGCCCATGGAGTTCGTGGGGCCCCCATCGACGAGACGAGTGCAGGCGTTGCTGGACGTGGGTGGACGCGGGGTCCTGGCTTGGATTCGAACGGGATCCGTTGGGCGAGCTCGACGTTGCGTCGCTCGGCATCCCGTCGTCCAAGAGCCGTCCGCCTTGCCGTGAGTGGCTGGCGGGGCTGTCGCCGCGTGCAGTGCGTTCCCCTTCGGGTGAGCGCGCGCCGCGCGCCCGGCCTCGTCGCCGCAGCTCGCGCCCCCGTTCGCTGGAGGGTCATTCTCCTTCGCCGCCCGCTGAGGCCGCCGTCTGCGACGAGTCCGACGCGGCCCGCGGTTCGAGCTGGAGACCGACGTCGCGCACGTCGACCCTGCGCCCGTTCTGGACCAGGGCGGGGGCCGTGGCGCCCGTCGGCTCCCGCCTGCACGCCGCGGTGATTGCTGCAGGGGCAAGGACAAGGGCAAGGCCGAGGACAATAACAATCCCCCACCGGACGACGCCGTTGACCTTCCCAATTGGGCGCCGCGTAATGGGGGGGTCATAAATGGGGGGGGGCGGCGAGGGTGGTCCGAAAAGGTACCCAAACGGTACCTAAACGAGCCCCCTGGGGCTCTGGAGGGGCCCGAAAGGGGCACGAAAGGGGACCTTTTCTGACCCCCCCATTTGTGACCCCCCCATTAAGCCACGCCCAACCCAGGGAAAATAAAGGCCCGCAGGGGTGGGGAGGAGGTCAGGCGTCGGCGCGCTGGCGCGGGCCTCTTCGCGGCCAGCGCCGGCGAGCCACGGCGGCCGCCCTCGTCCGGGGGGGGGGGCCGGAGCCCGGCGCGCCCAGCGCGGAGGTCGCCTGCGGTGGTCGTGATCGGAGCGTGTCCGACGGATCGTGAGGCGATCGTGCTAAGATAGTTGGAACATCCTTCAAGGTCTATCACCATCCATCACCTCCTCCTTTGCCCCCTATCAGGTCAACATCACTCACGTGGCCCCGGGGCCATCGTCTTGCCTGCGTCGCAGGACCGGCTCTCAGACGTCAGGTCTCTGGCCCGAGATCACCAGCATCACGCAATGCTGCGCAAGGTAGCTCGCGCAGTCATCAGTCACGCGTGTGGACTCCTGCTGTTCCGCTCTTCAAAGCACGAGCGAGCTCACCAGTGCAGTGGATGAGCTTGCGCCCTCACGCGCGCGCCCGTCAGGTCAGACAGCGACGGTGTCTCTCTGCCGGGTCTAGGATGTGCTTCTGAATGGACAGTGTTGGTTCCCTTCTGCCTTTGGTTTCTCTTCTCCGCCAGAGCTGTTCGATCGCCCGCACGATCCCGACTCAAATGAGAGAGTTCGCCGCTGTTGGGCCCGAGCGTCGACGCACATTTGTTTTGTACGACGAGTAAAAGCCCCGCAATCTACATCTTATTGCCGCCATGTTTTCTCTCGTGCAGCTTCCAATCCCCGCAATTCTAGTTTCTCCTCCTCCTCCTCCTCCTCCTCCTCTTGGTCCCTGTCCTCGTCCCCCTCTTCTTTTTCTTCGTCCTCCTCCTTCGCGTTATCCCCGTCCTTTTTCTCCTCCTCCTCCTCTTTCTCCTCCTCCTCCTCTTTGTCCCTCTCCTCTTCCCCTTCGTCTTGTTCTTTTTCTTATTTTTCTTCTTCCCCCATCTCCTCCTAATCATCATCCCTGTTTTTTTTCTCCTCTTTCTCCTACTCCCCTTCCTCTTCCTTCCCTCCCTCCCTCCCTCCCTCCCTCCTCCTTTTTTCCCATCCTGCTCCTCCTCCTCCTCCTCCTCCTCCTCCTCCTCCTTCTCTTCTCCCTCCCCCAGCTCCTCCGCATTCAATCCTTTTCCTCCTTTTCCTTCTCCCCCCTCGTTCCAGCTCGAGCCCGTGCGTGTGGCCGGTGAGATCGCCAGCAGTGCGCGCACCTGACCCAAAGAGGGGTCAGGGGCAATCGGTCCGTCATGGGCGGCATCGTCTCGTCCAAGAAGGACAAGGGTGCTAAGGCCAAGGACGGCAGCTCTGGCAAAAAGGCGGAGGATCTGCCCAAGAAGGACGTGGTCGCAGGTGGCATCGGCCACGCGCAGTTCATCATCGATAACAAGGGCAAGATATATGAGGGGCTTCGCCTTCTAACGCCGCGCCCAAAGGCTGAGCCACCTTGTGGTTATGTCAGGGCAGTTTTGGGGCCACCTTGGGCTATTGTGAGACCTCTCTGGGCACCTTGGGGCCTTTGGGGCACCCTTACAACGATAGACGGAATACAGAGAGTAAGGCAGTGGTCAAGCAGGCAACTTCACAGCTTTGCGCCCCAAAGGGTGCCAGCGAATTCGATTTCTACGACATGGATAAGAAGAAGATCGGCGAGGGGTCCTATGGCTCTGTCAGCAAGGGCAAAAACAAACGCATTCCTGGCATGGAACGCGCCATTAAGACGATCTCCAAGGCCCAGATGAAGAACGCCGACAGGTTCCGCCAGGAGATCGCGATCATGAAGATGATGGACTTCGAGTGAACTGCATACTGATACCGATGCCCTTCCCCCTCCGTTTCGTTTCTTCGGGCGTCCTGGAGTGCTCTCGCCCCCCGCGGGCGGATTCGCCTCAGAAACCTGGTCAGAACGCTCCCGAGGAGAGGTCCGGGGAGTAGTGGTACCGGTATCTCTTGCCCCCCCCCCCCCCCCTTAGGACCACCCGAACATCATCAAGCTCCACGAGACGTTCGAGGACCACCTCCTTCTCCGCCCCTCTCCTCCCGCGCCTCTCCCGCGCCTCCGCGCCTCTCTCTCTCGTTCTCGTCCCTGTAGCCTGGGGCCGTTTGATTTGTTCTGCCTCCTGCCAGGGCTTGCTCTTGGTATCCTCAGTATGAGGTCGTGCTCACTCGTGCCACGCCTGCCTCCTTCGTGCCGCGCCTACCCCCTCCACTCACTCACTCACCCGCCTCCTTCCCTACTCACACATACCCAGACTCACTGAGACTCAGATTCGCTCATACTCAGACCCACTTGCACTCAGCCTCGCTCGTACCCAGACTCGCTCATACTCATACCCACTCACACTCAGACTTACCCACAGACTCACACCCAGGGTCACTCATACTCGGGCTCACTCATACTCAGACCCGCTGACACTCAGGCTCACCCGGACTCAGACTCTCGCTCATGCTCTTACCCACTCACGCTCGGACTCGCCCAGACTCAGATCCGCTCGGGCCCATGGCTAATTCTCATACCCACTCTTACTCAGACTCAGTCTTGGAGGCCTTGAAATGGGCACCAACACCAACACAGGGGTTTGCCTCCACAGGGCGAAGATGATCCTAGACTCCGGTGTTGGTGGTAATATGTCGGTCACCTCGGCAGCCAGAATATTACCACCATCACCGAGGTCGGCATCTCCTTCCCTCGGTGGAGGCTCAAGGCCGATATTGGTGTTGGTGTCAACCTCTAGGCCTGCCACCGTCATTCACACTCGGGCCCACTCACACTCGGACTCGCCCACGTCCAGACCCGCTGACACCCATCACCACCGCGATATGGAGCAGGCGGGGCGCCTGGGCACACCCCGAGGGGGAGCCGCCACGGGGTGCATTGACACCTGCCCGCTCGCGGCTTCCGGGGGGCCCCCCGACCCTCCAGCAGTGGCGAAGCGTCCCGGCTCGCCTCGAGCCCCACCAAACGATGTGCTAAGAACCTTTTGCGGTTCCCACGAACTGTTCTCAGAACATTTCTGGCGGAGATTGTCTTGGTTTATCGCATGGGGCCTATGTTCTAAGAACAGTGTTTTTGTTCTTAGAACATTTTTGGGTTCTAAGAGCGTTTCGTGGTAGGACTATAGGAATGCCGGGACGGTCGGTCCCTGCTCAAGACCCCTCTCCTTTCAAAGTCCCGTGATCACCGCAATGTAGCAGGCGTGACCCTCGGGCACCCCGGTAGACAGCCGCCAGGGGGCATGCCACTTGCCCGTTCGCGACCAGACTGTCAGAACGCCTCCGGCGAGACTCTTGTTTGGGCGCCCTGAGCTCTTCCTCAAAGAGGACCTCCAGGAGGGCCCGAAGAGGCCCAAATCATATGTTTCCCTCAGGTTTTTGAGGGATTCTGGCACTCGCTTCTTGTCGGCCTGCCGAAGACCCGAGGACGGCCCCAGAGGCCGCCAAAAGATCGCCCCAAAAGCGCTCCCGAGGCCTCCGAGATGGCCCCGTGGCGGCCCAAGAAGCCCCTCCGGAGCCCTCGGGGGCCCTTCGGAGACGCCCGGGGGAGGGAGCGGGGGGGACCTCCAGAGGCCTCCGGGCTCCGCAGAGACCTCCCGGGGGTCCCGGCCCCTGGGCCGCTTCCGGGCTCCGAGGCCGGCCAGCAGACTCCTCAGGCAGCCCGCATAACAAGGACGCGCGGTAGGGACTCAGTGCCCAAGAGAAGGCCCAAAGAGGGCCTCAGGGCGGCCCCAGAGGCCCCCAAAAGATCGCCCCAGAATCGCTCCCGAGGCCTCCGAGATGGCCCCGTGGCGGCCCAAGAAGCCCCTCCGGAGCCCTCGGGGGCCCTTCGGAGACGCCCCGGGGAGGGAGCGGGGGGGACCTCCAGAGGCCTCCGGGCTCCGCAGAGACCTCCTGGGGGTCCTGCCCCCTTCTGGGCTCCGAGGCCGGCCAGCAGACTCCACAGGCAGCCCGCATAACAGGGACGCGCGATAGGGACGCAGGGCCCAAGAGAAGGCCCAAAGAGGGCCTCGAGAGCCTTCCTCGGCTCCGTGATCGCCGCGGCGTGGCGGGCGCGGCACTCGGCCACCCCCGGGGGGGGGCACTCTGCCACTGCCCGCTCCGCGGCCAGAGAGCGCGGGCTGCGGACCCCCCCGACTCTCGGGCCGGACGAGAGGGGGGACAGGGTCAAGTCGGGCCCGTCCCTCTACAGGAGGGACTCTTCAAAGGTAGCCAAAGATTATCCCGGCGAAGCAACCTAAAAGCGATGTGTAGGAGCATATCTGGAAACATTCCCCTTAAGATTCAGATGATAATCCAGTTGTAGAATTCTGCTGTTCTCGCAGTCGTAGTCGCATTCGCGATGACAGTCGCAGTGGCAACGGCAGTCGCAGTCACAGCCTCAGCCTCAGCCTGCCTCAGCCTCAGCCTCAGCCTGCCTCAGCCTCAGCCTGCCTCAGCCTCAGCCTCAGCCTGCTTCAGCCTCAGCCTCAGTCTGCCTTCAGCCTCGGCCTCAGCCTCAGCCTGCCTCAGCCTCAGCCTGCATCAGCCTCAGCCTCAGCCTCAGCCTGCCTCAGCATCAGCCTGCCTCAGCCTCAGCCTCAGCCTGCCTCAGCCTCAGCCTCAGCCTGCTTCAGCCTCAGCCTCAGTCTGCCTTCAGCCTCGGCCTCAGCCTCAGCCTGCCTCAGCCTCAGCCTGCATCAGCCTCAGCCTCAGCCTCAGCCTGCCTCAGCATCAGCCTGCCTCAGCCTCAGCTCAGCCTGCCTCAGCCTCAGCCTCAGCCTGCTTCAGCCTCAGCCTCAGTCTGCCTTCAGCCTCGGCCTCAGCCTCAGCCTGCCTCAGCCTCAGCCTGCATCAGCCTCAGCCTCAGCCTCAGCCTGCCTCAGCATCAGCCTGCCTCAGCCTCAGCCTCAGCCTGCCTCAGCCTCAGCCTCAGCCTGCTTCAGCCTCAGCCTCAGTCTGCCTTCAGCCTCGGCCTCAGCCTCAGCCTGCCTCAGCCTCAGCCTGCCTCAGCCTCAGCCTCAGCCTGCTTCAGCCTGCTTCAGCCTCAGCCTCTGCCTTCAGCCTCGGCCTCAGCCTCAGCCTGCCTCAGCCTCAGCCTGCATCAGCCTCAGCCTCAGCCTCAGCCTCAGCCTCAGCATCACCTGCAGCCTCAGCCTCAGCCTGCCTCAGCCTCAGCCTCAGCCTCAGCCTGCCTCAGCCTCAGCCTGCATCAGCCTCAGCCTCAGCCTCAGCCTGCCTCAGCATCAGCCTGCCTCAGCCTCAGCCTCAGCCTGCCTCAGCCTCAGCCTGCTTCAGCCTCAGCCTCAGTCTGCCTTCAGCCTCGGCCTCAGCCTCAGCCTGCCTCAGCCTCAGCCTGCATCAGCCTCAGCCTCAGCCTCAGCCTGCCTCAGCATCAGCCTGCCTCAGCCTCAGCCTCAGCCTGCCTCAGCCTCAGCCTGCCTCAGCCTCAGCCTCAGCCTGCTTCAGCCTCAGCCTCAGTCTGCCTTCAGCCTCGGCCTCAGCCTCAGCCTGCCTCAGCCTCAGCCTGCATCAGCCTCAGCCTCAGCCTCAGCCTGCCTCAGCATCAGCCTGCCTCAGCCTCAGCCTCAGCCTGCCTCAGCCTCAGCCTCAGCCTGCTTCAGCCTCAGCCTTAGTCTGCCTTCAGCCTCGGCCTCAGCCTCAGCCTGCCTCAGCCTCAGCCTGCATCAGCCTCAGCCTCAGCCTCAGCCTGCCTCAGCATCAGCCTGCCTCAGCCTCAGCCTCCTCTGCCTCAGCCTCAGCCTGCTTCAGCCTCAGCCTCAGTCTGCCTTCAGCCTCGGCCTCAGCCTCAGCCTGCCTCAGCCTCAGCCTGCCTCAGCCTCAGCATCAGCCTGCCTCAGCATTCAAAATGTGGCCGTGGAATAGAGTTCTGGGAACTCGAAGAACACGAAGTGGCCTACAGTTGGCTCCGGGCATTCAAGATCATGCCCAGGAATGTAGTTCTGGGTACTCGAAGACCACGAAGTGGTCTACAGTTGGCTCCGGGCATTCAAAATCATGCCCAGGAATGGAGTTCTGGGAACTCGAAGACCACGAAGTGGCCTACAGTTGGCTCCGGGCATTCAAAATCATGCCCAAGAATTGAGTTTGGGGAACTCGAAGAACACGAAGTGGCCTACAGTTGGCTCCGGGCATTCAAAATCATGCCCAGGAATGGAGTTCTGGGAACTCGAAGACCACGAAGTGCGTTACTGTTGGCTAAAAAAGAGTCCCCGGCATCCTCCCCCGGATCGCGCCCAGACTCCCCTGGGGCGTCAAGATGTTCTCTTTTGACCCTACTAGAAACCTATCAGTCTTCGCTATTGGCTAAGTAGTATGGGGACGATTTTTGGAGCATTTGTTATGTTTTTTTCTTTTTCAGCCATTTTGGTGTTTTTTTGGGTTTTTTTTTTTTTTTTCCGCCCCAAATCCTCATGCAGGGGGACAGGCCCGACTTCAGGATAGGGAAAGGGGGGGTACGAAATCTGCTGCATGCAGCTTTCTGCGGCCCCACCGAGGGGCCATTCCTCGATGCGGGGCCGTCTCCAGCGCCGGGAGGCGCCGGGAAAATCGGCTATGCGTGATCCGATTCTCAAAACCCCCCCCTTTGCTATCCCCCCCTTTGCGCCCAGCCCGAGGCTCCTCCCCTCTCAGACAGAGCCCCGTGACCACCGCGACGTAGCAGGCGTGGTGGCACTTCGGCACCCCATGGGGGCAGTCGCCAGGGGTGTGACACTAATGCGTCAGCGGTGGAACGCTTGTTGTGGCGCGCCAGTTCTCCTCCGCCCAGGATCACCGCGACGTGGCAGACAGACGTCGTGGCATCTGGCCACGCAAGGGGGAGCCTCCAGGGAGTGTGAAATAAGCCCGTTAACGGCCAGCTTGTCATAACGTCTCAGGCGAAACGCACGGTTTGGCACCACCGATGCTTTTGGGGGGTTTGAGCCTCCTTGATCAACGCGACGTTGCAGGCGTGGCGCTCGGGCACGGCAGGGGGAGCCGCCGGGGCGTATGACACTTGCCTGTGTGCGGCCAGAGTGTCGGGACGTCTCGAGTAGAATGGCCGTTTGTGGCAGTGGGCGTATGTCTTTGCGCCGTACCGGGCGCCGACGCCCGCGGGTGGCCAGAGCGCGACGTAACAAGCCTTTTGCGTTTCGGCCGCATAAAGGGGCAAGCCGCCAGGGGGTGTATCACGTGCCCGTCTGCGCTTGGACTCTCCAATGCCCCGACGCTCTTAGAGGAAAGTGCCAGAACATGAGGTGCACATGGGGATCTCCGCGTCGAGGAAGCTGTATCCCTTGTGCGAGCTCCCGAGGACCATCGCAACATCTACCTTGTCATGGAGCTCTGCAAGGGAGGGGAGCTGTTTGACCGCATCATCGAGGCTGGGAGCTTCAACGAGTCCCAGGCAGCAACTCTCATGCAACAGATCATTCGGGCGATCTACTACATGCATGAAAACAGCATCTGCCATCGCGACTTAAAGCCCGAAAATTTCCTCTTCATGACCAAGGATCCGATTTCAAAGAACCTGTTGAAGATCATTGACTTCGGCCTCTCCTGCGAATTCAAGCCAGGCCAGGTCTTGACGACGAAGGCTGGCACGCCCTACTACGTGGCGCCGCAGGTGCTCGCGGGCAAGTACGACCACATGAGCGATTTGTGGAGCTGCGGGGTCATAATGTTTGTGTTGCTCTGCGGCTACCCTCCCTTCTTCGGCGACACGGATGCGGAGGTGCTGTCCAAGGTCCGGCTTGGGAACTTCACCTTCAACGCAGCCGATTGGAAGAACGTGTCGGAAGACGCCAAAGGCCTCATCCGGTGTCTCCTCAAGATGAATCCTAAGGACCGGTATACTGCCCAGCAGTGCATGAATCATGTGTGGATCAAGGAGAAGGCTCCCAAGGCCAAGAACGCTCCGATCTCGAACAACTTCGTCGATAACCTCCGTGGATTCCGCTCGCAGAACAAGCTCAAGAAGGCGGCCCTCCACATCATCGCGGGCGAGCTCTCTGACAGCCAGATCAAGAATCTGCGCGAGACTTTCCAAGCACTCGATAATAACGGAGATGGTTTGCTGACGTCAGCGGAGATGAAGGATGGGTTGGAAAAAGCGGGGCTGAAGGATATCCCCGCAGATTTGCAGGACATCATGAAGAACGTGGATGCGGACGGAAGCGGCGTGATCGACTACACGGAGTTCTTGGCGGCCACGCTCGACAAGAAGCTGTACATGGCTGAGGACATGTGCTGGAGGGCCTTTGCGCGTTTTGACCAGAACGGCGATGGCAAGATCTCTGTCCAGGAGCTCGCAGAGGTCTTGAAGGACAGCGACGTCAGCAACTTGGTCGGTGGGCAGTCCGCGCAGGACTCGGGGAAGCTAAGACTCCAGGGGTAGTGAGATTCGGCCTCCCCTTCCCCCTCTTCCGTGTCCCCGTCCCACACTCGTCGTAGAACTCACTGTTGTTTCAGTCTGGATTGCCCTGAAGGAAATCATGACTCAGGTGGACACCGACGGCGATGGAACCATCGCCTTCGAGGAGTTCTGTCGGATGATGCGCGCTGACTGAGCGCCGTCGTTCACCATCCGTCCTCCTTCCATGTCTTTCTCCTCGTCGTCGTCGTCGTCGTCCTCCTGTTCCTCCTCATCCTCCTCTTCCCTGGTCTCCTCCTCTCCTCTCTTCTCCCTCCCTCCTTCCCTCCCTCCTCGTCATCCAGCACTCCCGTTCCCACATCGCGCTAAGTATAGCTGCTTTGAGCGCTTCACCCGTAAACCCCTTTCCGGCGTGGAGTTTTCGGGCATCTGGCAAAGTCAGTGCCCGAGAGCCGGTGCTTTGAAAAACCGCGCCGGCCTGGCCACAGCAGGCCCCGCTAGCCCGCTGTCCGATGCCACGAGCGGGTCGTGCAATCTGCGATGGCGCGGGGATCTTCCTCGGCGCCCCCCGCCCGTCGCCGTCTGGAAGCACTGTACCATGCGCGCCTTTGGCCCCCCTTGCGGCCCTTGCGCTGCCCTCTGCACTGCTCCGCGCGCCACTGCTCTGCGCGCAGAAATCCAGGGCCGCGTCCTGCCGCCGCTGCCGCTGCAGCGCTGCCGCGCTGCCGCGCTGCCGCGCAGCCGCGCTGCCGCGCTGCCGCGCTGCCGCGCTGCCGCTGCTCGTCGCCGTCCTCCTCCTCCTCCTCCTCCTCCTCCTCCTCCTCCTTGTCCTCCTCCTCCTCCTCCTCCTCTTCCTCCTCCTCCTCCTCCTCCTCCTTCTCCTCCCCCTCCCCCTCCTCTTCCCTCCGGAACGTCGTGACCAGCAAGGGTGCCGAGGCACCGATGGGGGAGGAGCGGGCGTGCTCAGGTGCGGGAGCCTGTGGGCCAACGGGCGGCGTCCGTCCGGACGTCCTCGCCGCTCTGCTTCTGGTCGGGTCTCCGAGGCGCGCTCGGCGGGCGGTGGGTTCGAGGCTCCCCAGGCTCTGCATGCCGGATCGGGCGATGAGGGGGGATCGGAAAAGGGGGGGGGACTGCGAACCCTGCTGCGCGCAGCAGCTGGCCGCGGCCCCGCCGCGGGGCGGTTCTTCCTCGGCACCTCCGGCGCCAGAGAGTCCAGCTGCGTGAGCTGCTTGGCCAGCCCCCCTTTCCTGCCCTCCGTCTCGTCCGCGCTGAGCATCCAGACCTGGTCTGATTTGGGCGGGCCGGGGCGTTTTGATTGGCTGCCCTCACGGCTCCGCCGCTGCTGGAGGAGGTCGACGGGAGGAGGGAGGAGGGAGAAAGGAGGGAGGAGGGAGAAGGGAGGATGGAGGAATGGAGGGAGGGAGGGAGGGAGGAGGAGGAGGAGGTGGAGAAGGAGAAGGAATAACAAACATACACGACGAAGACGAATAATAATGGCAATACTAAGCAAACTAAGAGGAGCAATGCTAGTATCAATAGTTCTAAGAATGAGAAGAATAATCGTACGACTCATTTTAATAAGAATACGAAGATTAAGGATTAGGAGCGCACGACTCAGATAGTACGGATAGCACTACTAACAATAAGAAGAGGAATATGGGGAGGCCGGCAGAGGGACGCACAGGGACCGCCTCTCCCCCTGCTGCTGCCAGCTGGCCCGCCTCAGTCCTCTCTTCCAGCGCAGGCGGAGGCGGAGGAGGGGGGGCCCGACCCCCCCGACGGCATCCACTGGGGGGCCCGGGATGGGGGGGGCACCAGTTTGTTGCCCATTGGTCGTTGCCTTGGCATCGCTCGGGAGTGCCTATTTTTTGTGGGCGAGGGCCATTGAGGAGCCTCCTGGCTCATCTTGCAGAGGAAACGCGCACGAAACCGACAAATGCACGGGGATTGGACGTTTGAGCGATGGCCAGTTACGGTCGGCCCGAGGTATAAGATCGAGGTCGGCTCGGGGGGGGTACCCTAGAGTTCTTCGTTCGTGTTGGATGTTCATGTGCATCCTGGAGGAGGGTACCCGTTCGAATGCTCTCATGGTTTGGGGCGCTTTGGTCGATGGAGGGCCTCATGTTCTTCAAGGATGTTCTTCAGTCCTAGGTCCGGCCGCACCTTTGCTGTCCGAGCACTGGGAAACAAACGGGCGCTCACCTACCCGACCCTCCTCCTCCTCCTCCTCCTCCTCCTCCTCGTCCTCCTCCTCCTCCTCCTCCTCCTCCTCCTCCTCCTCCCGTGTCGCCCCACGACCCAGACGGGGTCGGGTAACTCCCGCAGTCGCCGTGGTCGGGGGGCGCCAAGGTGTGCAGCCACGCCGAGCCTAGCCCGGCCGACCCTGGGCCCGGGGTGGGTGCACAGATGCCGTTCTGGCCGAGCCGGGAGGGCGCACACAGTGGAGACCCATGCCAAGAAACACCCTGCTTGCCCCCCGGATGCCCTGGGTTTCTCGGGTTTTGCGATGGCAAGCGTGACGCTCCCACACCAAAAGTTCGCAAGCATGGTTGGCCGTGACGGTCGCTGCCCCTTCTCCGGACCGGTGGCCTCCATCCTTCGCTCCCTGCCCTCCGTGCTCCGTCCAGTTCTTCGTCGTCGCCCCCCTCCGTCCCGTCTGCCTCGTCTGCCTCGTGCTCACCTCTTCGTCCTACCTCCCCCCTCCCGCTTTCTCCTCCTCGCGTTCCTGCTGCTCCAGGCCTCCTAGATGTGGTCGGAGTAGATGGGGTCGGAGGACCCCTCCGCATCGCCGATGCATCGGCCATGCGGCCCGATGTGGAGACCGTGTTTCCCTTCGCCGACGTCGCCGATGCATCGCCGACGTTTGCCAGTGCATCGCCGATGCACCGGCGATGCGGCGCGATCCTCCGACCCCATCTCCTCGGACCCCACCTAGGAGTCCCCTAGTCGCTGCCCCTCCTCTTCGCTTCTCCTCTCCTTCCTCCCTCCTCGTCCCTCTCCGCCCTCCTCGCCCTTCCCTCCTCCGCCTCTTCCCCCGCCTGCAAGCCTTCTCTGGGGCGGGAGTTACGGCCTGGAGCTATTGTAGCCAGTGTTTCGACACCCACAGCAGATCGAGAGGGAGAAGAAGGTACAGTTTTTTTTTTGTTTCTCTCTCTCTCTCTCCTTGGACTGTGCTGTGAGGAGAGGTGGTCCCCACTCTTTGGGGGTCAGGCAGAGGTCGAGCGTGACCCGCGCCGGAGACGCCGCAGCTGGAAGAGCGGCCGTGGCCCGCCGCCCCCGTCTTGGCGATCAGGGGGGTCCCGCGCGCGGCTCGCCACCCCCGGGCGCGAGACCTCGCCCCCACGCACCGCTCCCGACTGCCGCCCCCCACACCAAGAGCGGGGCTCATCGCTATACCTTCGCTCGAGCATGGCGTTGACGAGGGCGTGGCGCAGTTTATCTACCTCGCGGTGGTCTTCCTCATCTTCGTGGTGCTCGTGCTGGCCACGCCCGGCGCGGGCTGCTTTTTGCCGCTGGGGAAAGAAACGCCACGAGAGGGGCTCCGAGCTCGAGCGAGAAGCTGGGGGCACCTCGAAGGTGCCCTCATCTGTTCGCTCGCGCCCTCTGGGCCTGGCGGAGGGGGCTCCGGAGGCCGTGGGGGCCTCCCTGGAAATCCAGAGGGCCCCTTGGGCCAGGGGCACCTCCAGCATGACGTCGGGCCTGTCCCTCTACAGGGGGAATATTCAAAAAAACAGTCAGGGGATTGTTTTTTTTGGGTCTTTTTGGGCATCCTTTGAATATTTTTGGAGCATTTTTTTGGGCCGGCGAACATCCCCCTGTAGGGGGACGCGCCCGACGTAACTCTAGCAGCGCCCGAACCAGACCCCATGGCACGACGCGCTGGCGAGGCACCCGGCTTGGGCTGCTGCCGCCCCGCCTCGGCCGCTGCAGCACAACGTGCGCGGGTGCACGGTTCTGTGAGATGCGTGCCCGGTGTTCCCTGGATGCACAGCAGCAGCAACAGGAACAGCAGCAGCAACAGCAGCAGCAGCAGCAGCAGCAGCATCAGCAGCACCAACAGCAGCAGCAGCAGCAGCAGCAGCAGCAGCAGCAGCAGCAGCAGCAGCAGCAGCAGCAGCAGCAGCAGCAACAGCAGCAGCAGCAGCAGCAGCAGCAGCAGCAGCAGCAGCAGCAACAGGAGCAGCAGCAGCGGGGGAAACAGGTCGCCCCCTCGGAGCAGACGGCTGGGGCGCCGAAGCGCGACCTGTGGGCAGGGGTGCCCGCCGCGCTTGCAGGCGCGATGCCTCTCCACGGTGCGCGCCTGGACCACGCAGCTCCCGCCAGAAATGCGCGCGTTTGCCGAGCGCGTCAGCTGCCGTGGAGAGACAGGCCGCCCCGTCTCGAGCGAGCTGTCCCAAGGAGGCCCCGGCGGCCGCGGTGCTGGCACCGCCCGCCTGCTCCCCGAGGGGGCCGGCTCACGGCCACGGGCAGCGCCAGACCCCGCGTCGCCGCGGGTGGCCGCGTCGAGCCCGTCCAGGCTGAGCGCAGTGGAGCAGGTAGCCTTAAGTCGGGCCCGTCCCTCTGCAGGGGGAATATTCTGCGGGGATCCTCACACCCGTTTGGGGCCGATGCCCATACCATTCTTCGCCTCTCCACTAATGTTTCCACCATGCAGCCATTTCAAGCAGCATGCCGTCGGTAGGCCCCGCTCGACCCTGCCGTGTTTCGGTCCCGTTCGTGCCTCCGCCTCTGGCTACTGCTGCTCCTTCTTCTGCGCCCTCATCTCGGCGTCCCCCCTACTATGTGTTCGTCGCCCCCCCAGGGGCGACGCGCGCACTGAGAAATCTTACAGTATATGCGTCGTGGCGGGCGCTTTCTGGCCACACCGCTCGAGAAACGATGTGCTACAATATGGGTATACTATATGTTCGGGTCGGACGCGCGCCCCCAAGGCGGACATTTACTATTAGCATGTCTCTGTGCGTCCCATCGTCCCCCCAGCGTGCGACCTGACGCGGCCAGGCTGTCTGGGACACCGACGGCGGTCGCCTGGGCGCCTCGTTGGCCACTCTGGCGCGTGGCGCCGCGGAGCTGGACCAGGAGGAGCCGCGCGGGGGGCCCCTCAGGCAGCCGGCCGGGGCATGGGGAGCCCAGCTGCGCCCCAATAGGGGAGGATGGGAGAGAGAGGGAGAGAGAGCGAGGGAGGAGAGAGAGGGAGAGAGAGAGAGAGGACATACAGGCAGAGAGAGAGAGAGAGAGAGAAACAGGAAAGGGATATACAGGTTGCGCGTGCGTGCCCAGGCTCATGCAAACACATGTGCAGGATGTGTACATGTGCGCGTGCGTGTGTGCGGTGCGTAAGGTTTATCTTATGTGTGTTGTGTGTGATGTGTGTGTGTGTGTGTTTTGTGTGTATGTTGTGTGTGTTGTGTGTGGTGCGTGTGTGTGTGTGTGTGGGGGTGTTTGTGTGTGAGAGAGAGAGAGAGAGAGAGAGAGAGAGAGAGAGAGAGAAAGAGAGCGAGAGAGAGCTATGTGTGAAACATGTGTGTTCTGCGTTCTGCGTGTCATGTGTGCTAGGTGTGTCTGAGTGTGTGTACGTGTGTGTGTGTGTGTGTATGTGTGTGTGTGTGTGTGCTGTGTGTGTGTGTGTGCGTGTGTGTGTGTGTGTGTGTGTGTGTGTGTGTGTGCGTTGTTTGTCGTGTGCGTGTGTGCTTGTGTGTGTGCGTGTTTGCGCGTGTGTGTGTGTGTCTGTGTGTGTGGGTTGCTTGTGTTGTGTGTGTTGTGTGTGATGTGTGTGTGTGTGTGTTGTGTATGTGTGTGTGTGTGCGTGTGTGTTCTTTGGGTTCTAGTTCTGTCTGTTTTAGGTGTTGTGTGCTTTGTGTGTATTTTTTTTTGTTGCGCGCGCGCGCGTGTGTGTGTGTGTGTGTGTGTGTGCGTGTGTGTGTGTGTGTGTGTGTGTGTGTGTGTGTGCGTGTTTGGTGTGTGTGTGTGTGTGCGTGTTTGGTGTGTGTGTGTGTGCTGTGTGTGTTTTGTACATCGGGGCTTGTTTTTTAGAGGATGCCTCAGGCGAAACTGCCTTATTCTAATCATCGCGCTGAACATGGGGCTCAATGTTTGGAGAACATTGCATGCGAAACTGCATTTTTGGAAGAATCGGGCTTAAACACATTGCATGCCATGGTACTTTTGGAGGTTAGATGTTAACACGGTTAAGGCATGCTGTGCTTTTGGACCGTGACGCCGCGATTTGCGCGAGGGTGCGTGCGATTTTCAGAATGTTGCGGGTGTCCCGTGGGAAATGCCCAAGCCAAGAAACGCGAGCTCATTGTTACTCGCCTCTGAGCTCTACTCCCTCGGAGGGGTACGTACAAATTATATTTAACAAACATACATACGTGTATGTCTGTCTTTCTGTCTGCCTGCCTGTCTGTCTGCCTTTCTGTCTTTATGTATGCATGTCTGTCTGGCTCTACGTATGTATGTATGGATGTGCGTATGAATGTACACATGCATGTATGTATATATGCATGCATGCATGCATGTATCTGTGTAAATGTCTGTCTGTGTGCCTGTCTTTCTGCCTGTCTGTCTGCCTGTCTGTCTGCATGCATGCATATATGCAGGTAAGTCTGAATGTACGGACGCATGACTGTGTATGTTTGTGTGCGTGTATACATGCATGCGCGCATGTATGCATGCCTGTCTGTCTGTAGGTATGCATGTACGTAGATGTCTGCCTGTCTGTCGGTATGTCTGTATGTATGCATGCTGCATATATGTATATAGGTGTGTATGTCTGTGTGTATGTCTGTGGGTGTGTGTATGTATGTATGTATGTATGTATGTATGTATGTATGTATGTATGTATGTATGTATGTATGTATGTATGTATGTGTGCATGTATTCATGTATGCATGCATGCACGTGTGTGCGCATATGTATGTGTGTGTGTGTGTGTATGTCTGTCTGTCTGTCTGTCTGCCCGCCTGCCTGCCTGCCTGTCTGTCTGTCTGTCTGTCTGTCTGTCTGTCTATAATTATGTATGCGTGCATGTACGTATGTATGTATGTATGTATGTATGTATGTATGTATGTATGTATGTATGGGCTTTTGGAGCCCCTGGAAGCCCCTGCTGGGCCGGGCAGCCGGGCCAGGTCGGCCAGAAGGGCGGCCGAGCAGCCCCCCGAGGACCCCCGCGAGGCCCGAACCACCCGCCAGACGCCCGAAGACGACCCAGAGAGCACCCCCAAGAAGCTTTCGACATGCAGACAAAAAGCAGCAATCCCCAATGGTTTTCGCATGAGATCGAGAGTGCTCTGCTCCTCGGTCTTCCGGGCGTCTGAGGCCGCCCAAGAGGCCCGACAATCGTGCCAAAACCATCCGAGTGGGCTTCCAGGCAGTTCAAGAGACCCCCAACACCGCCCAAGAGGGCGCCCAGATGGCCCGAAGAGAGCCCCATGACGGCCCAAGAGGGCCCCAAGATGCCCCCCGAAGCATTCCAAAGCGCAACCTTCTCGTTCAGGGAGACCGCAGCTGTAAGCAGGGTGGCCCGAGAAAGCCTCCGGAGGCCCCCAGAAGGCTCCCAGGAGGCCTCCAGAAGGCCCCCCAAAGCAATGTCAAACTTTCGTGAGACCCCCAAGGAGCTCTCCAAGGAGGATCTTCCGCTAAACGTGCAGAGGAGGATGGGGAAGAATTCGCAGGGGAGGGCGAGAATGAGGAAGAGTAAAAGGAAGCATAAGGGAAATACACCGAATGGGTTTGTTATGGCGATGTCGGACAAGGCAACGAGGAATTATCGCTCTTGGTTCTGCTTTATCTTCCTGCCCGTCCGCCGCGACTTCCGCCTGCACGCCAAGCTTCAAGGACCAAGGTGCATGGCGCGAAACGCGAACGTAGTCTTGTGTATGTCTATAGATATGAGAGAAATCGGAATGATGCGCTTGCTTTAGAGACATCTGTATATTGAGCCAGAGAGAGAGAGAGAGAGACACAGATAACAAAACGATTACTAGAGAGAGATACAGAGAGGGGGGGGAGAGAGAGAGAGAGAGAGAGAGAGAGAGAACGAGAGAGACAGCGAGAGAGAGAGAGAGAGAGAGAATATATACCCACACATTAGATCAACTTCTATAGAGAGATGGCGAGCGCGTGGATGGAATGGATATTTATATATAAAGAAAGAGAGACAGAGAGATAACGCGATATATGTATATATACATATAGAGAGAGACAGACAGAGAGAGAAAGAGAGAGCGCGAGGAGGAGGAGGAGGAGGAGGAGGCAAAAGGGCGTTTGCGACCAGACACGCCGCTCGGCAGACGCAGAGGGCCGCGCGCCCTGCAGCCGTGGGGGCTCAGAGGAGTGCCCGCGTGGCCTGTCACGATCCTGCCTCGGACCCCGACGCCGACGGGCGTCGGCGCTCCTCCTCCTCCTCTCCTCATCTCCTCCTCCCTCCTCCTCCTCCTCCTCCTCTCCTCCTCCTCCTTCCTCCTCCCCTCCTCCTCCTCTCCTCCTCCTCCTCCCTCACTCCCTCCCTCCCTCCCTCCCTCCCTCCCCTCCCCCCTCCCTCCCTCCCTCCCTCCTCCTCCTTCCCTCTCCTCCTCCTCCCCTCCTCCTCCTTCTCCTCCCCTCCCCTCCTCCCCCTCCTCCCCCTCCTCCTCCTCTCTCTCCGCCTTTTCTCTCTCCTCCTCTCCTCTCCTCCTCCTCCTCTCCTCCTCCCTCCTCCTCCTCCTCCTCCTTCCTCCTCCTCCTCTCCTCCTCCTCCTCCTCCCCTCCTCCTCCTCATCAGCCTTCCTCCTTCCCCCCCTCCTCCTCCTCCTCCTCTCCTCTCCTCCTCCCTCCTCCTCCATCATCTCCTCCTCCTCCTCAGCCTCCTTTCCTCCTCTCATTTCCTCCTTCTCCTCCTCATCCTCCTCCTCCTCCTCCTCCTCCTCCTCCTCCTACTCCTCCTCTCTCCTCCCCTCCCCCTCCTCCTCCATCCTCCTCCTCCTCCCCTCCTCCTCCTCTCTTTTCCTTCCTCCTCCTCCTCCTCCTGGGTGGCCAGGCCGAGAACACAGCCCAGGTGGTGGCCGCCCTCGAGCGCCGCGATGGGGCTCCTCGGCGAGGACGGACCGGCCTGTCGGGGGAAGACGTCACGGGTCTCTCGCCGCATGGCCGAGGACGAAGCCCTGGACGAGGCCGAGGACGAAACCCTGGACGAGGCCGAGGATGAAACCCTGGACGAGGCCGAGGCCGAGGCCGAGGACGGCCTCGCCGAGGCCGAGGATGAAGCCCGGGACGAGCGCGCTCGCCTCCCGCTCCTCCACTTCCTCCGGGCCGTCGGCGCGCAGACGCGCCGTGCCAGCCCCGGCGACAGCGAGGAGTTCGCTGGGCTTCGTGCCCCACCGGTTGGTCAAGGCATCCGCCCGAGCCTGCCAGGCGGCGTCCAGACGCGGCACGGCCGCACTGCCACCCCCTGCGTCGCCCGTCGCGACAGTCGCCAGAGTCGCCTGCCCCGTAGACGCCGAACAAGCACGGAGCGCCTGGCCCACCCTACCGACACGACTGGGATGCGCGACAGAGGAGTAAATCTGTCAGGGACATGGATGAAGGGGGCCATCATCCCCCTCTCCCAGTTGAGCCTCCTCCCGTCGTGGTGTCTCGATCTGCTCGTATTGCGTACTGATCTGCCCTCCTGCCAGGGCCACCTTCCCTAGGCGCCCGCGCAGACTTTTGAGTTTTCCTGGTGATCTGCGAGCTCTAATGCCGCCTTTCGTCGACAGTCTTCATGCTTCAATGGCCCTGCAATCCAAGGGTATGGAGGAGGCCGCCCCAAGACGGCTTCCAGACGACGTCCAAGACGACCTCGGATTTCACACCGCTTCCCATTGCGCTTTCGGGAGCGAATTTTGGTTCCATTTCTTCGGGGTCCTTTCGGGGCCTCCGACGTCGACCCCTGGGCCATCCCCCCCCGCCCGCCCCCGCCCCGCTCCTGTGCCCCCGCAGGACTGCGGGGACGGGGAGCGGCAGCGGCTGGCGCTCGACGGCATCTGCGAGGTCAGACGGGGGGCTGGCTGGGGGGCGGGGAGCGGGGCAGGAAGGGGGGAGGGGCAGCCCGGCCAGTCTCACCGAGCGGGTGAGGGGGGGAGGATGGGTTGCGTGGGGGGGAGGGGGGATGGATTCGTGTTGGGAAGGTGGGCGGGGAGGGAGCATTGGGAAGGCGGGCGGGGAGGCAGCCCAGACGGTCTCGCGGAGCGGATGGGGGGATGGATCGCGCTGGGTGGATGAGGGGGAGGGGGAGGAGGAGGAGGAGGAGGAGGAGGAGGAGGAGGAGGGGGAGGAGTGTGAGGAGGAGGAGGAGGAGGAGGAGGAGGAGGAGGAGGAGGAGGAGGAGGAGGAGGACCAGTGTTAACCCAAGAGTCATCAAAGATGTTGGAATCGGCCCTCCCTCCAAGCACCCTCCCTCTTCATAGTCACCTACGACGGTTCTTTTCCATTGCGCGAGTTCCCTCTTTGCAAGACAACCGTTTGAAGACCCTGAAGCATGTCAAAACATTGTTCTCGGGATTTCAACGCCACGGATCAATCTGACTGTTGCGTCTTGACAATCCTGAATCGTGCCAGAACGCCATTCCTGTGACTTCAACGCAGCGAACCAGCATAACTGTTGCACCCGCATAATCCGGAGTCGTTTAAAAACACCATTTCTGGCACGTTGATGATGGGATCCCGCGAAACTCTTGCACATGTTTTAAACGAATGTGCGCCGCGCTAAGGCGAGAGCCACAGTTTGAAAAGGAACCGCCCTCAATCCGTGAAGCTCTTGCACATCTTTAGAACGAATGTGCGCCGCGCTAAGGCGAGAACCACATTTTGAAAACGACCTGCCCTCCATCTGTGAAGCTGCTGCCAATCTTTAAGCTTCCGAGTCATACATGGTGAGAAAATTTCAGGCGAAACGCCCGGCCCGCCCTAAAAACTGCCTACGGCGTGCGACAGGGCGAATTTTTTCTTGTGTATAAAACAAAGGAGAGGAATGGAGGACGAGGAGGAGGAGAAGGAGGAGGAGGAGCAGGAGGAGGAGGAGGAGGAGGAGGAGGAGGAGGAGGAGGAAGAGG